ATAGCAGACTTAGAACAAATAAAAGAAGTTCACATGCCCAATCTCATTGCAAAAATGCCAAAAATATGAAAAATCAAGCCTGCGTCGTCTTTCCAAAGCCTACCAGTCCTTTATAAATGTTTACCAATGAGAATTACCTAAATAAACCTTGGGACCTTTATAAGTACAATCATTAACTTCACCAAACAATCCAAGTAGCTTAAAGAAAACACACACATATTAAAAACATCTCAATAAAATTAAGAATAACACCAACAAAAAACAAAAACAAAACAAAACCCTTGAGTGATGACCAAGAAAACATAAAGAGGAGGCTGATAGAAAGGAGGAAGACAAGCATTTAATAGAAATATAAAGGCTGAATTGGATTCAAACTAGTGTTATTCTTTTGCTTAAATTATCAGAAAGGGGCAAGATGAGAGGTGAGAACAAGAGATACACCAACCATAGTTTATTATAGGATGACAGAGCCAGTGAGAGAAATAGAAGAATAGAGCAAGGCAGAGAGTAAGAGAGAAGAAAGAAGAGAGAAGAGAGAAGAGAGAAGAGAGGGAGAGAGTTAATGGCTGACCACCATGGTTGGCCACCCGAGAGAAGAGAAGGAGGGGAGAATGCTGCTTAGGGTTTATAAGGGGGAGCTCGCATATTTGCACTGAGTCCCAACACAGCCCTGTATTTGAATGACTTAGCCATGAGGTGGCCACGCAACATAGGGCCCTTTAAGCTGCCTAGGCATCTGCCTGAACCTTTCAACTAGAATAAAGTTGAAATTGAAAAACCCAATGACATAACTAGAAAACTCAAAGGAAAGCTTTATAAGTACAAGGAATCAAGGAGATGATAGAATATCAGGTCTCAAGGATAAAGGAGAGAGTCTAGATAAAACATGTAAAGAACTTGAAAAAATAATTTTTAAAAGACAGAATGGAACATACAGGGAATGTGGAACACTGTTTTTAAAAACCTTCTAATTATAGACATAGATGAAGGGGAAGAATCCCAAGTTAATGGCATAGACCAAATATTCAACAAGATCATAGAAGAAAACCTCCCCAAACTAAAGGAATACACATCCACAGAGATTCAAGAAATACACAGAACATCTAATAAGTAAGATCAGAAGATTATATGTATATATATATATGTATATATATATATATGTATATATTATGATATATATGTATGTATTATGATATATAATACATGAATTCATATATATATAAGATTCATATATACATAATCATGACTAACAGGGCACATGTATTGAAAGCTGCAATAGAAAATAATGAAAGTCACCTATAAGGAAAAAACCATCAGAATAACAGCTGATTACTCAATGGAAACATTGAAAATCAGAAGCGCATAGAACAATGTATTCTAAGTGCTAAAAGCCTGCATTAGCTAGCTTAGACTAATATACCCAGAAGAACTGTCCACCATTATTGAAGAAGAAAGAAAAACTTTCCACAATATAAACATCCTAAAAAATGTATCCAACAAACCAAAACTAAAGAAAATATAAAAATCAATATTTAGGGCAAAAGACAGGAATAATATCAAGGACACTGTGGAAAGAAACATAAGGCCATAATTATTAAAACACAAAATACCAGTGAGAACACAAATAAAATGCCAAAAATCTACACCATGATAACTACAACATACCACATTTAAATCTTTAAATATCAATGGCCTTAATTCTTCAATCAAAAGATATGGGCTAACTGAATGGGTCAAGAAACAAAATCCATCTATCTGTTGTCTACATGAAACACTTCTTAACTTTAAAGATAGTCACTACCTTAGGGTAAAAGGTGGACAAAAGTATTTAATCAAATGGAAACAGGAAGCAAGCAGGTGTCACTATCCTAACATCTGATAAAATAGACTTCAAACTAAAACTAACCAAAAGAGATAAAAAGAAACATTTCATTCCAATCAAGGGAACAGCTAACCAAGAAGACATTTTTATTCTAAACATATATGTACAAAACTCTTATGCACCCAGTTTCACACACACACACACACACACACACACACACACACACACACACACACACACACACACACTCACACACTTACTCTACGGGATTTCAAGATATATATTAACATCAATCCAATAATATTAAGTGGTTTCAGTACCCCTCTGCAATAGACAGGTCATCTGAACAAAAAATAAACAGAGAAACATCAGAATCAATTGACATAATGTATCAAATGGACTTAAGGGATATCTACAGATTATTCCACCCAGATACCAAAGAATGCACATTTTACTTAGCCAACAAACTGAGATACACACAAAAAAATCTTTACATATGCAATAAGTTTGAAATCACTCTTTTTATTCTCTAAATAAAACTGACATCAACCAAATCTCTAGCAAGCATACAAACTTATAGAGATTAAGCAAATATGAATAGGTCAAAGAAGAAATCAAGAAAAACATAAAAATTTCCAGAAACTATATGGAAATTAAAACACAATACAACAAAACCTCAGGGACACATGGGATTCAGTCATATGAGGGAAATTTACAGCTCTAATTGTCTACATTAAAAAATCAGAAAGAGAATAATTAAATGATTCAATGATATAACTGAAAACACTAGAAAAACAAACCAAACCCAAACCCAATCAATGGCAAGAAATAATAAAAATCAGAGCAGAAATCAAAGAAATATAAACAAAGAAAACAATATGAAGGATCAACAAATCTAAGAGCTGGTTCTTTGAGAAGATAAACAATATTGACAGACACTTGGCTCAACTAATCAAAAGAAAGAGAGGACCTAAACAACAAAACCAGAAATGAAAAGGAAAACATTACAATAGACACCAAAAAAACCCTCAGATTATTATAAGGGAATATTTTAAAAGCCTGTACTGCATTATTCTGGAAAACCTAAAAGAAAAGGAGCAGTTTCTAGATTCAGCCAAGTCACCAAAACAGGCCTGTTATAAATGAGATTGAAATTACAATAAAAGTTTAAGAAAGTCCAGGGCCAGATGGATTCACCAGCCTTTCAAAGATCTCTAACCAATATTTTTAATGAAGAAAAAAAGAGAGGGGAGGAGGGAGGGAAGAAGAGAAGGAAGAAAGGGAGAGAGGAAGGGAGGGAGGGAGGGAAGGAGGGAGGGA